CCATCAATGCAGCCATATCGTGAGGGTGATTGAAAATGATGAACACATCATCCACGTATCTTTTGTAGAAGAACGTTCCCTTGCTTGCCTCATCCAGCTGTGCTTCAATCATACCCATGAAAATGTCAGCCAGAATGGGACCAAGGGGGCTACCCATCGCCACGCCGTCTGTCTGTCGAAATGCGGTGCCTTGAAACTGGAAGCGCACGTTTTCAGTGCACAGTAAAATGAGGGGTTTCAGTAGCAACGGAGGTATGCTAAGGTTGATATTCTCTCGATTGGTGAGTTCGCAGATGAAGTCTACGGTTTCCTGTAATGGTACATTTGTGAATAATGAGGTAACATCAAAGGAACACATCGTTTTACCAGATAGATTCAAACTAGACAACATATCACAGAGTTGAAAGGAGTCACGTAATGTGTGATTGCTGAGGCGTTTGTCTACCGGTTGGAGGACTTCTACGAGCCACTGGGCTAGTTTGTGGTAGGGTGAATCATGCATAGACAATATGGGACGTAAAGGAACAGATGGTTTGTGTGTCTTTGGTAACCCGTAAAGAATCGGTGTGTGACAACCTATGGGCTTTAGTTGTTTCATTTGTGTCTCAGTGATAAAACCATGTAGCACGAGAATTTGTAACTCACGTATGATCTGCTTTTCTATCAATTGAACATTATCCGGAGCGGGGTCTGGTTTGAACTTGTGCTTATCGTCCAGTATTTCCATCATTTTGGCAATGTACTCATTCTTGTCCATGACAACCACGCCATGCCCCTTGTCCAGTTTTATCACTATCAGATTTGGATTGTTCCGTAGTTCTTTCAGCGCTTGATAGTGTTCTTGTTTCATCATGCCGTTTTGGTGAATGGGATTATGAAGGAAGCTGTGGGCGTGGTCTACCAGCTTGGCTTTAAGCCAGTTTCGGTTATCCTCTTTTGATGGAAGCAGATCGCCGAGTTGCTCATTGAAACGCTCGAACTGTGCTTGGACGTAAATTTTGTCTATGTTTTTTGGAGGGCACTTGAAATTAAATCCCAAGGATAGAGCTTCCAGCTGAGGTTTGGACAAGACTGTACTCGATAGGTTTGTGACGAATTTTTGAGGTTCATCAGGGAAGGCATCAATCGGTGCTAATTTTGATAACGATTTTTGCAGCTTCAGGTTCGTCGAGTTCACAGTCCTGCGAATCATATCCGAAGAGAACACAGAAAACTTGATACGGCACACGATTGACAACTGATTAGTTGCGGTAGAATTGTGGTGGTGTGTCGACACATATTGTTCTAACTTGGATTGGATGGTATCGATTTGCGACAGTGTCAAGCGACGAAGATTGGATTTTTTCGGCACGATATTGTCCTTCGTTAATGTAGTGAAAGACCTCACAGGATAAACATCACATTTCGAGCAGTTTTCTAGAAACAACAGTCGTGTACGCTCGACTGCTATTTTGCACCGTAACAATCACGTGCATCACACACACTGTACACATTCACACACACGCACACACATGGTTAATACTAACTAGATTTCTTAATTCGCTTCATTTGTCTATTCTGTTCGATGTTATACGTACGCAACCGATGAGAGTATACGAAAGGAATTCCTCTCGCAGTGTTTGTCTTCTAATTTGCCTGTTCAAATGATAGCTTTGTTAGCCTCCTTTACTATCCTCGTGAGGGCACCCAGCAGTTGGCTATCTTCCTCACGGTTTGCACTTGGTGCACGATGAACACATACTACGTTGACCCTTCTATTCTTGAGCATTAGAGTAACCATGCACAACTGCACATTTCTCGTGCAGAGAGTGATCTGTGAATTTATATGGTTTGTGCCTCTTCTGATCAGAACTGCCACTCCTCCTCCTGCATACACCTGATTGCGGTCCTGCCGGTTGACAGTAAACGACTCCTGAACTGTCTGTGGTATATGGTCTGTATCCCTCAACCATGTTTCGGTGATTGCCACTACA